GAAATTCGCCGCACTGCCACGAACATGCTGTTCAACAACTGTGAAAAAGCTTCACAATTTAGCATCTCAAGTCTTAAGATTGTTCTGACCAATGTTGGAGTTGATCTGATTAAAACTGTAGGAGTTTGTTAAAGTACGACACATGGAAATGGCAGCAATGGTGGATTTCTAGTTGGCTTTAGGAGACATTTAGGTTAAAAGTGCTGTGAGGGCTACATTGTTGAAATTTTCTAGGGGGCACCCTTGAGCCACTTTGTCCTCTAAAAGCTTTGCAATTTAACATCACAAAGGTCTTAAGATTCCATGGACCAAATTTGGAGTTGATCTGATTAAATCTCTCGGAGGAGTTCGTTAAAGTATGACGCCTGAAAATGGTGACAAAATGCGCCAAAATTGCACACTAAATTCTAAATGGTTGACTTCCGGTTGGATTTATCTCATGGGTCAAAGAGGCTTTTTTGTAAATTTCAAGACAATACACAAGCCTACCAATTTTCATACATCAAGGTCAAACGTACTGTGGGGGCTACTTCATTGAAATTTTCTATGGGCACCCTTGAAAGTTTTGTGAGTTTTTGAACATCATAAAAGCCTCAAAAATGTGTTCGAAAAATGTTCCAGCAGAATAATAATAATCTTTCTAAAAACAATAGGTTCCTTGCTCAGGCCCTAACTAATAGAACCAATGAAGGCATTTCAGTCATGGGTATATCATTATAATCATAGTTAAGATGTACAGAAACCTGTCTCCAATGATTTCTGCATTAGAGGACACTACAGCTGAGAATAGCTGGAGAGGGACAGAGCACGTTTGCTGAATGTATGCAGGCTGTCATAACGTGCTGTGACACAATGCATTTCACACTGTACAGTGCTGCTGCTGAAATCTAGTGTGAGAGCGAGGGACAGCAGCAGAAACATGTTCCCTGAGGCCCACACACACAGCAGCAGCTCGCCAGTGCAGCAAAACAATAACACACAAAGACACAATTCAGCATAAAGCTTCCACTTAAAGCTGCCGAAAATCTGCTTTTACCCTTATTCTGTGTCCATGGTTGGAGCTAAGCACTACCAGTGTGTACTGGGTCTGTACCACACACAAAAACAGCTCCACTAGCTGAATGTATAAATGACTAAATTGATCTCTCTTGTCTGTCAGCAGAACTAGTGTGACATTGTTAAAGAGCCACAGACACTTGGATGGATGGGTGACCCAAGCAGAAACCTCTGGGACTGAAACATCCAATACAGAAGCTTGTTTGTTAATCGAATAGCAGTTATATGATAGCACTAATTAGCAGGTATCGGTTGTGGCGATCCCCCAAATTATGGGCCAAATAAATATATTTTTTGTTATGAATGATGAACTTTAAATCACGGTATTGTGTTTGTTTTGTATGATGGAGTATTAGGGCTACATTGAGGAAGGAACATTTTTTGAGAATTTCAGAGATCAGACGTTGGAGTAGTAAACACTCGCCACGGTAACTGAGTCAGTGGAAGGGAGCCGGGGATTGAACCACCAACCCAGGGTCTTCTACCTGCACTACCACCTGAGCCATCTCCCCCCAGGAAATGACACTGTCAGTGTAAAACGAATAGAAATACACAGATACAGAGAGGAGTTTTGTGTTACACCCCTAAAACATAAAACACATCAAAAAAAAAAAAGAAAAAACATGTGTTTTGTTCTACAATTCTTTTGTATGATGGGTCACCGTTACCACACCTTAATAGTAAATAATATTATTATTATTAGTATATCTTCATGTTTAATATGAGCGATTGAAGAGCATATTGTCATGTGTTAGGATACAGGCCAAATAAAATCCCAGGTGGGATTTTAGCTGTGTCTTTAGGCAGGTAGTCTGTACGTTCGGATGCACTAGAAGGTGACAAGGACTCAGGCCTGTCTTACTGGTATTTATTCAACATAGCATTTGCAAATGGGCTCAGCACTTATACACAGATCAATGGTCCCCACAAAGTGAGAGCCTCAACATGAGAACAATCCAATCTCTTATATTTTGGAAAGCAAGAATGTGGAGTATCCTGCCCTGGCTGACACAGGCAGGTAGCTGTAAATTCTCAGGAGTCAAAACCCAATAAGTTGTTCCCATTACAATAAGAAGACAGGTTACAAATAGAATCGCACTAAGATTTTCCTCTACAACAGGCAATGTAACAATGGGCAATTTAACAAAATGTAAGATGCAATGTTACAAAATTTAAAAAAGCTTTTTCACGCTGCAAGCATCACCCTGGCCTCGCATCTCCTCATTTGCTTCCTATGGCGGTCGGGCATCTTATCACCTGCGCTACATTACACCTGAACTGAGTGTGTCGTGGGTGACTACGAGGAAAACAGCTGATATCAATACTTTGTGCTTCTATTTTTAACTCTCATGTATCTTGAGTTTATCGAGTGTAAACCTTGTCTGACTGAACAGTACTGACATTGCAGTCAATGTAAAGAATGATCGGATGATTACTGCTGTCAACTCTTGAGAAGTGGAAGACGAGACATTTTGCTGTCATGGTAACACAAAGACATAAGATACTAATGTCATATGATCATTAGAGCTGTCATAAGGTGGTCCGAGTGCAGTGTGGCGGTGGAGGGATCAGCTGAGCACGTGGCAGCAGCAGGGACAGCTGTAGGGTTCAGGCTGAAGGTGAAGGAGGGAGCTGCAGCTCTCTGAGGAGCAGAGGGGAGAATTGGAGTGAGCAGGCCGGTGACTGTTCCTGCTGCTTAATAAGAAGTGACGTTACAAAACATAATCCACCTCAGCAGCCTGTGCTCAGGCTGGAACAAGTTATTTTTGAATAGAAGGTACAGACTGCATGAGAAGCTGCAGCACTCTGCTCCTGACAGCCCAGACTGTGAATCATGGCTAACAACTCCGCACGGCACACACGCCTTCTTCCTCTCACACACTCATGATGAGTGTGAACCCTGAACATCCTCACTGCACAAACTCCACTGACCCACAGAGATATTTCTCTGTTTACGTCCTTGACAATTTGGTAAACAAGGAAGTTACTTCCTGTGCTGACCTTGCTGTGGGGGTTGTTTTCATTCCCCTGATCTCTGTGCATTTTAATGTGTGACAATCAGGTTAAATGTTGCAATGAAGGATCCACAATCTGGAACTACAGGAGAGGCTAAAATGACGATGGAACATCTGGAAATGAATGTTGACAATGTTTTAATTTAACTGTCCCAGTAAATGTAAATCCACACTACAGATACCTTTGAAATATAATCAACCAAATATGGAAACAATAGGAGGATTTTGTATGAGTGTGTGGTATCTCTTTTTGTGTGTGTTGAACAGCACAAGGACAAAACCCTATCCTGAGAACAGTGGACAGTACCTGCTCTTTGTTTTTCTCTCTCTTTCTCCCCATCTTGTGTAAATCTGAACTTTGATTGATGCACTCTCTTCATTTTCTTCCAGCCTGCACTGGGATCATCTTGCCATTAAAATAGAAACATATAGGAGAACCCCATTGCAACGTGTATTTCAACTTTACACAAACTGAATAGAAATAAAAGCATTCCAACTTTAATTGAAAGTTTATCAGTCTCGCATTGGTCCGTTGGAATTAATGTTAAGCTAGTTAATTCACTCGACTGAAGCTACGTCCACGCTGATACATATTCACTTTAAAATGGTGTTTTAAAACAAAATCGATCTCCACCCAGACGAGCGTTTTAGCTCTGTATCAGAAAGAGAAGTAATCTCCATCCATACTAACACTCCTGTAAAAACATACATACATGACCATTCACATACACTGAGCATGTGCGTTAGTTGCAGAAAATACCACAAACGAGAAACAACAAAGACAGTTGTGACATTAAAATACAGAATTTAACTGAACAGCTGCAAAGACAACAAGGTCAGTAACACTTGTAATTCATTATCATGTTGTATTCACCACTGGTAGTGGAGGCTGATGAGAGCCGATCAGGAGAGACTGTAAGTGTCTACGTCACTGTTTCCAAAGGTCTCAGTTTCTGTCCGTCCAGACTACAACACAACCCCAGAGTTTTCAAAATAAAACAGGTCCAACAGAGTTTCTGAAGAAGTTTTAGGAGTTTGAAGACGTCGTAGTAGTGTGAGTTTTGTCTTTAGCTGAAGGACGCTCACCCAATCACTGGTAAGTTCGATGCACTTACAGAGAGAATCCATGGAACGGTATCTGCTATAAGTGTTAGAAGGAAGTTCTGGATGTTGTCTGCATAATTTTGATAATTGATTTTATTGTTTTACACATTGCTTTACATTTGGCCTAATGGAAGAATGTAAGTGATTATGAACTCCACAATTCATGTTGGACTACTGCGATGCATAGCTGCAGATTGAGACCAATAAGTTCCTGTCCTGGAGATATAGGGACTTTAAGCAGCGACAGTTGAAGTGACAGTTTCATTCTAACACATTGTCGTAGTAATGGAAATCAAAGATCGCTAAGCAACATTTAACTCTAACAGTAGCTACTTCACTTCTTCAGGAAACCGAGGTCGCTCCGAACATTGTTACAATATGTTTCTTAAAAGGACCCGAGAGCTCTTCATATTTGCTTTAGAGACTATTTAATGAGATGAGTTTGTTTAAATCCGTCTGTTACTTCAGCGCCACGGACAGCGCCATCGTTTCATCAACACACAGCACAGTAAGGTTGTGGGCTGGAGAGAGAGGATGGAGGTTAACAGACTATGATTGCAACATTGCCTAGATCAGTTTTTATCATCAGTGGTAGGGCAGTAATCTAGATCAAAAATAGTCAATGTTACCATTTTTGAGGTTAAAAAGTTTTTGGGGAAATACAACAGGAAGGTTTTATGTTGGTCTGTAGCTAATCACAGACGTTACACCAGTTCTCAGTGATATAAAAAACAGAGCAACACACTGGAAGCTGTGCAGGGTGGGAGGGATTCATGAGTCACTGGGTCGTGCTAACCTTCCTTTCGCACCATGTCATTCCCGCAGGACTACACCATCACCATGTACTTCCAGCAGTCCTGGAGAGACAAGCGTCTGTCCTACACAGGCATTCCGCTCAACCTCACCCTGGACAACCGAGTGGCAGACCAGCTGTGGGTCCCTGACACCTACTTCATCAATGACAAGAAGTCCTTCGTCCACGGGGTGACCGTGAAGAACCGGATGATCAGACTGCACCCTGATGGAACTGTGCTCTATGGACTGAGGTGAGAGCTTCTCCTGCTCTTTGTAGCCCTGTCATGAGGTGCTGGGTGAGGGATGTAAGCAGCTGTTAAAAGACATCAGTGGAAGCACTGATGCTTTGTTTTATTTCATGTTGATGTGAACACTAGAACTAGAACGTAACGAGATCCAGGTCTCTGCAGGGGCCTGCACAAGCCAGTCAGTGGTGCCCAAAATGGTGTCCAGCATCCTGCACCACTAACAAAGCTCCACTAACTCAGTGACCAACTCATTGCATTTCCTATACCCGCTTCACAATAAAAGCTCCCTCCAGTGTGCCAATAGAAAACTTTTAATGTTAAACAGCAGTAGCAGGAAGTCTCATTAGCAGTAACTGACAGTAAGGAAGTGATCAGTAGCTGGCGAAACATGGCTGATATCTGAAAGTACAAAGTTCAGAAGTGCAGAAACAACTGAGAGCTGCAGACACAGAGATGGATGAGCATGTGCTCATGGCTCAGTGCAGCTGCATGCAGCATGTCTGGACCATCCTCAGGGCACCTCAGGGTGGTACAGATTCACATGAATGGTCACTTCGTTTTAAAGCTGATTGGCTTCCAAAGAGGCAATAATAGAGTTTTATTTAGTTTTTCTCAACTCCAACAAACTCTAATCAGAATATGACTTTTGGCCATGTTTGCATATAAGACCAGCTGATTCCTCTGAGTCTCCATCAGAGGCTGAACTCTGCTCCGTCTGCTCACTGTGGAGCTCTGAGGGGGAACCAGCTGCTGAATCATTTATGGAGCCTCTCCTGGTGAACACAGTGTACACAGCCTCCCTCTCTGCAGCAGAGCACAGCTATGACCAGGTGAGCTCCATGGACTTAACTGAAGAAACTGACTCACTGTCAATAATTCAGTCCTCTCTGAGTTCAGAGGTATTCTGGGAGTTTTTAGCTGAGAGGTGTTTTTGAGGCCAAGCTGCACATTTTAATAAGCTGTTAACTTTGGCTTTTTGTCCTGGATCGGAGTCACAGTGTTTATAGTGTTTATACTGTCACTGACCTCCGAGACTGTCCTCCTGCAAAATGTGCTCATTTGTCTGACATGTTATTTCTTCATTCTGAGCAGTAATAGATCCTGATGGAGGCTGATCAGAAAATCTTTCAGTCATCTACAATCTATATTTTAGGGAGGGAATGATCATTTCCATCACAGGATAAAACAGGTGATTTGTGATTTTGTTCCTAAATGTTCCATGAAGTCTCACACACCGATCTAATGTGTAAATTCATTTATTCTCAGGGATTTAAAGATGACAGATTTTTGTTGTTTACTTGGTGACTCTGAAGTTTCTTTACACTTACACAATCAAGAGGTTTCCAGTTCTTTAAATGCAGTCTGTAACTTCTGCTTCAAGGAGTCTCTCAATCACAACAATAACAAAAGATGGCGTTGAGTGACGACATGAAATAGCGTGGGATCATGGAAAGTTGTTGTCTTCACCACCATTACCATAAGCTCCTCTCGGTTTGGATTCCTTCAGTGTCAGTGGTTCAGGTTAAAAACACTAAATAAAGCAGTTTCACATTTAAAGACTCAGGGAAGCGCTGGAGCTGAGATTGATGCTAACCTTTGTTCTGATTGTTTCTCTGATAACTTATGAAGCAGACGTTCAGCAGGTTTTTACCAGCAGCTGAATGATCCACAGAGGTGTCCTCCTCTCCATAACAAACACACCAGGGGATTAAAACCAGTAGAAACACTGAATCAAGCAGGTTCAAGTTAAAAATCATTAATTCACTGATGCTTTTCAGTGGTCACAGGACAGGATGTCTCCAGCAGCTGGGAGCTGAGCTGCCTCTGATAACTTCAGATCCAGACGTCCGACGACTAAAATCCTTCATCTGGTTCAAACATAGAGCTGAAAATCACCAAGGTGTAAAAAGTGTATGTGGCTTAAAACTAGATAAAAGTCAGTGTTGAGCTTCTGTCAGACAAACACACTGACACATGATCATAGAGGGTAGTATGTCATTGACAGGCGACCGTTGCCATTATTGAAGTCACAGATTTCTCTGGTTTGAGAATTGATGGTAACATTTGGGGATAATGTAAGAACACAACTCAACAACATATAGAACACAGGTATAGATGTTTTTAGACATTTTAATGTGGAAAAGTTACAGATTATAACTTTAAATTAATTGTAACCATAAAGGCAGTTTTCACTCTGCTAAATACTACTGGTGTGACAGTCTTATTTTTTTTCATTTAAGAAATAGGTTGTTTATTCAATATTCAGACTCACACTTGTTAAACCTGAAAGGTGAGTTACCTGGATTTTAATGTCACATTGATCCCAGCTGTAATTAACTCTTCCTATAACAGAACAATGTATCTGATTGGTTGCCAAACACCGGGCAGGTTGTATTTAACTCCAGCCCATCAGACATCAGGAGAGAGAGTGTACAGTGTATCAGGACAGCCTCAGACAGAAGGAGCATGTTGGGAGGACAGAGAGCAGTGGCTGGATTAGTCCAGAAACAGCAGTGGCTGGCCCCGCCTTCACGGCTCAGTGAACACAGGCCTGGTGGGCTGCCCCCATCACTTCCTGTCTCCTACAAGGTAAACATGTCTCTGTGTGCCAGGCCTCCATTCCCCTGAACTACACATCTCTTCCTCCTCTTCATCCTCTTTCCATCGACCCGAGTATCGAGTATCGAGTATCGAGTTAGATACAACCAACCTGCATGATGTTCGGCAACCAATCAGATACAGACTGCTGTAGGTAGAGTTAATTACAACTGAGATCAACGTGATGTTAAAATCCAGGTAACTCACCTTCCAGGTTTGAGAAACGTGAGTCTCAATATTGAATAAACCACATAATTCTTAATTGAAAAAAATGAGGCTGTCACACCAATAAGAGTGAAAACTGTTCCTTCATGGTTTCATTGGTCGCCTGTCAATGACATCATATCCTCTATGATCATGTGTCAGTATGTTTCTATGACAGAAGCTCAACATTGACTTCTATCTAGTTTTAAGCCACATACACTTTTTACACCTTGGTGGTTTTCAGCTCTGTGTTTGAACCAGATGAAGGATTTTAGTCGTCGGACGTCTGGATCTGAAGTTACCAGAGAAACAAGCTGAGGAAATGTTAGACAGCTCAGCTCCCAGCTGCTGGAGACGTCCTGTCCTGTGTCACTGAAGAGCGTCGCTGAATCTCTGATGTTTAAAGTGAAACTGCTTTATTCAGTGTTTCTACTGGTTTTAATCTCCTGGTGTGTTTGTTATGGAGAGGAGGACACCTCTGTGGATAATTCAGCTGCTGGTAAAAACCTGCTGAACGTCTGCTTCATAAGTTATTAAGGAAACAAAGGTAAGTAGTGTCAGTTTCCTGCTACTCCCTGTGTGCCGAGAAACGTCAGGTAATCACAGATTTTTTTTGGCATTTTTGCCTTTATTCAGATTGCTACAGTGAGAGAGACAGGAAAGTCAGGGAGAGAGAGAGGGAATGACATGTGGGCCACAGGTCGGACTGGAACCCGGATCACTGCAGGTAGGACTATGCCTTTGTGGCATGTGCTCTACCAGGTGAGCTGCAGGGGTTCCAAATTAGAAATTGTTAAAGTGAAGCTGCTTTATTCAGTGTTTCTACTGGTTTTAATCCCCTGGTGTGTTTGTTATGGAGAGGAGGACACCTCTGTGGATAATTCAGCTGCTGGTAAAAACCTGCTGAACGTCTGCTTCATAAGTTATCAGAGAAACAATCAGAACAAAGGTTAGCATCAATCTCAGCTCCAGCTCTTCCCTGAGTCTCTGTCCTCCGTACAGCGTCGCTCAAACACTGACCTTAAATGTGAAAGTGCTTCATTCAGTGTTTTTAACCGTTAGGATCACCTGGTCTGTTTGATTTACTGAACCACTGACCCGGAAGGAATCCAAACCGGGAGGAGCTTATGGTAATGGTAGTGAAGACAACAACTCCCATGATCCCACGCTACTTCATGACATCACACAATGCTATCTTTTCTTATTGTTGTGATTGAGAGACTTCTAGTGGCAGCAGTTACAGACTGTGTGTATGAACACCGAGTGTGAACCAGTGATACAGACGTTGACCTTGACTCACAGGTGATTGATTCTGTCAGTCTGATAACGTGATCAATACAGTCTGCTGATACAGTATAATAATCATTATCCTCTCAGGCAAAGTGTTTGTTGATCATGTGATTAGACCCTGGGAGGAAATCAGCTCTCTCTCCCTCTCTCTCTCTTTCTCTCTCTCTCTCGCTCATCACTTTGGCTTCAGACATTCACAGTTTGTGAAGGAGGGAAGATTTATTTCACACTGCCATGCTGCAGAGTCATTATCCCTGCCGGCTCCCACAATTATTCATCCAGCGTGCTGCTCACTGCTGACACAATAGCTATATTTAGGTTTCCCAGAATGACCTCACCAGCGACTGCACACACACATGTTGGCTGTAAGACATATAACACACATATTGTCTGTTTGTGTATCGTTAGTAGCACACACTCAGCAGCATTAGACCAGTGTAGCAGTAATGATGATGATGATGATGATGATGATGATGATGACGTCTGTCCTCAGTAACAAAAAGAAAAATAGGACACAGCAGCCTGGTTAAGTTTAGTCTGTGCTGATGTCACATGTGATGGTGTGTGGTATCATATTAAAACTAAAACTAATAGATTGTGTGCTGCTTCATGTTACACTTTTATGTCCTCTGGGCTTTTATTTGGATTTTTTTACACTTCACTTCCTCTTCTTGTCTGTCCACCGATCTACTGTTTCTGCCAAATAAAAAAAAATGAATCTGCAAAAACCAAAATCTTTTGCTTTTAAATTGACGAATAAATAAAATGAATAACGGATTATCCAATCATATCTTGATCACATCTGTCCACATCTGGTTTTAGGATATATATGTCCTGCGAGGATGTGAACAGAGTCACAGACTTGAAACAACACCGGTTGTTCTTTGCTAAGACATGGGGGATCCACGTCTTAGCAAGCATGATCACGATGGTCTCTGTTATTGTTTCACCACAACACAGGTCAGAGTGAAGTATCTTGTTTATACTGTGCTCAGTTAGTTTCTTCCTCCATCATTCATACTGTGTGCAGCGTAAAAAGCTCAAACTGCAGTCCATGTATCAGTGTCCACACTGTACACAGGTGGAACATGGACTATGTGAAGAGCCCATATAGACTGTAACTGGGAGTCACTGTCACTGTTCGGTTATGTCTATATATTTCTATTTTTCTCTTGGTGTTTTTGTGTGGTGACATTTGTACGTACTGTATGAGCAGTACTACAACTCAGGTAAAGCATTAACTTAACTATGTCTTCAGGTAAACAACAAATATCAGATTGTAACACTGAGAACAGACGTTCATCTTCCAGCCTGAAACACCAGTGATACTGGGAGCTCACCAGTTCCCTGCAGAGTGGTCGTAGATATAACACTGGTTTTCCTCAGGTAACAATGGACAGACTGAAAACACTGCGGTGAATTCCAAACAGCCTCTGACTGACAAATCAACCATTTGTTAACTTTAACTTTTCCATAATCCCTTGTCTCTTTTGTGATTCCTCCGCAGCAGTGACAGCCAGAGCCAGAGACATATGGTTTTCAGGTTGTTTGTCCCATTCTCATGGGCCTGATATCTCAGTAACAGTAAATCAGTAAATTTGGCACAAACATTCACTTGGACTCAAAAACAAACTTAGATTTTGGTGGTTAAAGGTCAAAGGTCAAGGTCAGTGTGATGTCACAAAACAAGATTTTAGCCATAAGTGAAGACTTGTGACAAAATTCACACAAATGGTTAATATATAGCTAACTCTAACTCTAAACAGGGATGTAACCTGACAGTGGCCTGAGTGGTGGAGGCAGACAAACGCGAGGCGGTCTTTCTGTTCCACATAGAAGGAGAGGACAGAGCAGCATGTGGACATGTGATTTTGAGACTTACTGAACTTTGGGTTCATTCATACATGTAAAAATAGTTGGTGAAGACATAGACCTAGTTTAATTTACCACCTCTGAACAACTGAGCCCAGATGAAACACCAGAGAACTGATTCACTGCATCTTCTTCAGACTCAAACAGCAGTGGTATAGATTAGAGAAAATGTAAGTAACCTCCTCCAGGTAGAGAACAGTCTGTCACTGGTTAACAGAGGTGATGACCTCAGTCTGTGAGCCAATGCATTCTGACTCTGTCTGATTGTGAGTCACAGCTTTGTGTTTGGCAGTCTGTGATTTAAATCAACATGAGCGGTGTTGCAGTTTGTGAATGAGTTCATGTTGTGTTTTCTGTCGGTGTGTGGGTGAAAAAGTGTTCAGAGTCAGAAGAGTTGGAGCAGATCCTGTGGAGGAGATGAGAGGAGGTTCAGCTCATGTTTGTTTCAGAGCAGGATCAGTGTGTAGGATGTGTCACTACTACTGAAACGTCCATGAGGGATGATCCGTGTATACCAGACCAAACACACTCTGACATCACACACTGCTGAACACAGAGCCGCTCCTCACAGTCAGAACATGGACAACAACCAGACATCATAGATCTACCACTGTGGTCGGTGAGCTACTGAGGAGAGAAGCTCAGCACTGAGGAACTAAGTCTCTCATCTTTAACAACAATCATACAGTGTTGTTCATTTAATATGAGTATGAGCATTATGGCCACATTGAGGGGGAAAAAAAATCTGAAATTTTGTCGTAATTTTAAGAATAAAATCATAATATTTCAAGAAAAAAGTCGGAATATTACGAGAATAAAAAATGTAAATAAAATGTCTCACAATAGAATACACTCAGTTTTTTCACAAACAATTCAATGTCCTGATGCTGATGCTGAAGATGATGATGATGATGATGATGATGATGATGAGGAGGAGGAGGAGGAGCCAAAAAATGAAGTTTCTCCTCATTTGTGAAACTAAAGTAGAACTTCACAGGACGCTCCACGTTCCTCATTTCAAATCTTCTGATATTTCCCTCTAAAACAACACGCAACCTAAAATTACAACTATTCTTTAAATATTTAAATATTAAATATTTATTTTAAATACTTTATTCTTGTGAAATTGCAGTGAACTGTTTGTGTCGTGTCCTACTGTGAGCTCAAACACAAGTGAAATACATGTACATATAAAGTAAAAACGCATGAGACAAATGTAAAAATTATCTACAGAAATTGGAACTGTTTCATATATTGACACATATGTCTCGCCCATACAAATATGTATGTTCATGTATGTATGTTTATATTATATACATTTGTAACATAAATATACAGTATATCCATCCCAAAGCCTGTCAGTATGTTGAGTAGATTCCTAAAGACTGAGACCACTTTTCCAGAAATTAATAAGAAAAACATATAAGAATGTAGAATTCATATACATATATATATATATATATATATATCCATGTTGTTTTTAATGAATGTACATATATAAAAATAAATATACAGTATATCATTAACACATATGGTCTCAAACCATATGAAAAATTATCTTTTTCTCAATGCAAATTTTACTCTGGTTATTTCATATATGTTATAATCTTATATCTTCATATATCCAGAGGATGTGTGATAATAATATATCACCTTATAGGTGACAGTATATGGCAACATCACTCTTGATATAGAGACATATTTGTCATATATTATGTTCCTTCATGGGTAAGCAATGATCTACATCAGTGGAGGTTGAAGCACGAGACACTCCCTCTACCTGCTCAGTGATTCCTGTTATGAAACAGGCGACCTGTCACGTTCCTGCAGAACCTCCTGAGAGCTTACAGAGCTGACACCACACCGTTCTGGGGTTTTTTTCACCTTGTGAGTCTGTGTGTGTGTGTCATTATTGCAAAACAGGTTTCTAGAGACACTTACTGTAGCTGGGTCCCAGAGCTGGCTCTGAGGATCTGTCTGTCTGTCTGTCTGTCTGTGGACAGATGTTGTCACCATAATAGCATCACAACCTGCAGGATACAGTCAGAAAGTGCACAGGTGTGTATCTGAGATCAACATGGAGGCTGGTGATGGTCTGTGGTTCACACACTCTGTGCTCCTGCTCTATAATTCATCTGGAGCTTCCTGATGTGTTGAGTGTGTCCAGGACAGAGATGGACAGTCCCAGAATATTCACCACCGAAGTGATGAATATTCATGCATTGAAGGGCTTTTTATGTCCTCACACTGTAGCAGAGTATGTGGAGATGTGTGTGTGTGAGGTGTGTGTGTAGCTCCACACTCAGCAGAGTGAAGAGACATGGTCAAGAGGAGCATTAGTGTGTTTCTCTGGGCTTCCATGTCACACTCTCCATCCTTTTCTCCACCATTAAAGGTCTGCTTATTTCACACCATAGTTTCCTATAAGTATTCAAACATACAGTTTCATCTCAGTCTGAACTTTAGTCAGTTCCTACAGCAGTGAGCTCTGCACAGCTGTGATCAGAGGAAATCCAGACCCACATTCAGCTGCAGAGCGAACTCATTATTAAAGATGCAGGTGATACAGACACAGCACCTGTAGTGAAGCCAGATAAAAACCTTCCACTGCACCTAGTTTAAAGTGAGAACCTTTCACCACTCAACCAAGACTCTCCATTAAAAAAAGATCATTCCCTGAGCTCTGGAGAACATCATCAGTCCGGTCTCCATCATACTGGAGAAAAATGCAGCAGAGCAACCGATATACATCAGTTCATTATAAATCAGTTACTGCATCAACAGCAATTTGGATTCAGACCCAAATGTTCTACAGAAACTGAAAAAATCAAAGGTCTTTTGGATAAAAGTCAAGTTGTGGGAGAAGTTGTCTGAGACTTAACAAGACCAGGTCTAAACCTAGTACATGTCTGGACCATGTGTGCTCAGTGTGTGAAAAAGAGGACATAGTTGAAACATGTTGATGAACCGCTGTAAACAACTAGTTTGACTGGACAACATGCTAAATGTTACTAGAAGATGTAATATGCTAATTAGCATATTCATGACGTCATCTTGTCGTATTAGCATTCAGTGTAGTGTCAGCTGGTTTGAGTCTAGAGTCAACTGTAACCAGGAGACTGTAACCAGGTGACTGTAACCAGGAGACTAACCAGGAAACCACAGCCTCAGTCCCACCAGGAGCTGTCAGTGACCCTTATCAACACAAATGACTCGGTCACTAATTCTCTGTCCGTCAAACTGAAGTGTTTCCTCCTTCAGATGTGAGACTTCAAAGTTTCGCATGATTGTCTCGATCTTTGTGTTAATTCTTAATTTTTCACAGTTTTAATTAAGAGTGAACCCGAGGAAGAGGAGCTGCTGGGGTGACTTCAGCATTATAGAACCAGCTGACTTCCAGTGGAGGTGTGAAGATTAGTCTGACTCAGTCGACAGGAGTGTGTGTAAGGGGGAGGCGGTTGAACGTGCTGTTCACTCTGTTATAAAGTCAAGTGTGTCCCTCAGGCATCAGGAAATGAAATGTTTTCCTCCTCTGAAACCTGAAGCTGGATGTTTTTCTAGTGTTGTGCATGTAGATGAGGAGGTCTAGTTGTGGCGTGTGACGAGGCAAAGACACAGTGTTGTGATGGATTCTTCTTCAGATATCAACTGAAACCTTCTTCTTTCAGGATCACCACGACAGCTGCCTGCATGATGGACCTGCGCAGATACCCTCTGGATGAGCAGAACTGTACCCTGGAGATAGAGAGCTGTAAGTGTCAATCAGGTTGTGTGTGTGTGTGTGTGTGTGTGTGTGTGTGTGTGTGTGTGTGTGTGTGTGTGTGTGTGTGTGTGTCACAGCATCAGCAGAGTGTTCCGCAGAGAGGCACCAAATAGTCACTTCACACCTCACCTGGTCTCTCTCTCACACCTGTAGTGTGGTTCAGTCACTCAGACGGAGGAGACACATAATGTACTGTAGTCTCTGGTCAGTAAACATGAGGTCACATGTTCAACATGTAACTCATGTCATTGGACAGTTCTGGTGATGTCATCACGAGACAATGTGGACCCACAGAGAAAAAGCAGATTGTGGTGACTGACAGCAGGTCAACCTGTTGTCTTTATTAAACTTCTCATTAAAAATAAATGATTATGATTATCATTAATCCAGACTGACGTGACCTCATGTGTCCAGAATAATAAGGTGAGGATGAAGAGAAGAGAGGACTGCTTCCATGTTTCCTCCATTTTAAACTCCTTTAGCTTTGTGCACTTGTATATATACTGCACATGTTGCCATGGAACCATAAATATGTCCTTCATTGTTTCCCTGTCAGTTCATCATCAGCAGATGGATTGAATAGTAGTTTAAAATATGAAATATCATAAAACCTTGTGTTTTTAATGAACTTCCCAAAACGACCTAAAGGTTCAAGTGATCTCCAGCTGCTGGTCTTGTATGTATGGCACTATTTTTGTGCCTCACTCCTGAGCACGCAGTGGGACTTTCTGAGCACAGACAAATCATTTTTGCAAACACAAACTATATTTTGAAGTGAATTTCTTTTTGAGCAAGAAACACTTAACCTGAGCAAACAGAAATCTATTCTGTGCTCGATAAATGTATTTCTCCGTTTGCTATTATCCACATTTCCACAGGGAGTCACAGAGAGTCACAGAGAGGAGGAGCAGATGTAATTTAAAGAATTTCCAACAAGGCAATGTATTTATTTAGTTTTGTCAAGGAAAATCACATTAGCCACACTATTCCAATAATTATAATGATTCCATTATTTTTGATAAATAATAAATAGAGAAGTTGTTGATTTTCAAACACAGATTTACACTGAGAGGACAGATGACAGCAGACCTTCATCTGACCGGGTGATTTAAACCTGTCATGACGAACTGTACCTGTGTTCAAAGTATATCTTCATCTTTATAACTCTTCTTCTCACATGAAGTGAAAGGGAAAAAAAAGTTAAAATCATAATGAAGCCTCCTCATAATGAGAAGAAGATAATTCCCTTTAAATCCAGCTGCCTTTAGATAAGATGACGGGACGAGCAGCTCCAATTAAACAGCTCTAATTAGTGAAGGGGCAGCGGGGGCTCGCTTCACCACGGTGCAGGCTGTGGACACAGAGACCTGGCAGGAAATGTAAAGGCAGGTCTTTATTGTTCCAGTTCAGCCTGAGGGAAAGAGGAAGATGCTCGACAGAAAGAGATGAACAAAAAACTGGAGGCCGACTTCCTGCTATAAACTCACGATTTAACACAGATTCATTGTGAATCACACAGAAGACGGCATGGATGTGACACTTCCTGTGTAGAGTGGATGAATTCACTGTTAGAATTATTTTTTGATCCAAATTAATAAGACTATAATATACTTTAAGACAGAATACTGTGGTTCACTGATCATTAAAGCTCCATATTTTCCTCTTCTTCTGTGTTTTATTTGAAGTGTTGATCCATAAGAAGATATATTTGTGGTTTTAAGAACCAAAAACCATCTCAATATAGTTTTACACTGTATATATATTCTTCTCTCTGGAGCTCTAGTAACAACAGGTCGGTGAGCCAATCAGAAGAGAGGAGGCTCTGAGCCTCTCCTCTGATTGGTTGATTGTTTTCTGAGTGATCTAATAATAAATATAGGAGATATTCTAACTGTCTTTCTCAACAAGTGTTTATAGGTGAAATTATAGGTGTGGGAAATGTGCACATTGTTCTAATATATCTGATACTAAGACATTTAATCACCCTCAATCAGGAAAGAAATATGAGTGATCCATCAACTGTCTTTCGACACATGTTGTCTATATCTTTAAATGCCCATGTGGCTTGATGTATGTAGGCCAAACTAAGAAAAATCTCAAATTGAGAGTTGCTGAGCATAAGGCGGCCATTAGAAATGGAAACATGGATCATGCCATTGCTAGGCAATACAAAGAGAAAAACCATGGGTCATCTACTTCCCTGAAATTTATTGGTATTGAAATCTGATTAATCAGCTTTTAAGAAGGGAAGCATTTTGGATTCATGAACACAGTTGAACCCTATGGACTTAATGAAACACAAGACTGGAGTTCTTTTCTGTGAGGTAAATATTCTCTCTAATATCTCTCTCCACAGGTTATTTGGACACTTAGGGAGAACTATTAAGTCTCGTGACATTCTCCCGCCCCCCTCAGTGATGTAGAGGGACAGCTGCAGGACCTATAGTCGAGCTGTGTAAATAATTAGCCTTTTTTCATGCAGTCAGTTGTGTATATAGTAATCAGTTCTTATTTTAGTTAATACTGTGTAAAACTATGTCACTTTTGTAACTCAGAACAGCCACTGAACTAACTACATAATAAAATGAATGTGTTGGCCTCACAACAAACAGTATCTGTACGAACAAGCCATGTAGTGAACTAGCTAAGTGAGGCAGGTCAGCTGATCAGGGAAAGTAGACAACTAGTCTTTGCCCCCGTGCCACTGGGATTCTTGCCCACCAGCATAAATGTCCAGGGCAGTCCTGATCCAGGATTAAGCAAGGCCATCCCCCTGTCAGTTGACCAGATATAGGTCATGAGGCCCAACCCACCAGGAGTCCAGGATCCTCCACACACTGAAGGGTGGATGGCCATCAATAAAACCAGGAGGTTGCGGTACATCAGACAGACACAGAAGAACCAGATAGATAGGAAAGGGGACTCACTTGAGCCAGGACCACAAAAAGACACAAGAACCATGGGGGCCAGCTCACAGCTCGCCATACAAAGCAGGAGACTTTATCATCCAGGGGGGAAGAAGCAGAGGGTCTACACCAATGATTTTGGTGGATGGTGACACCACGGCAACGCTCAAACACTGAGGCCAACAAAGAAGAGGTTAATGGTTTTAACTGAGATGTCATTTAGAGCACCATGGTTCTACACAAGGACAAATACAGCTGTCATTCCTAGGAGAGGTGATGTGTTCACATGACCTGTGACGAACACAGATCCTGATAATCTGATGGAAAATAGGATGTCAACAGGTTGGTAATGAGAAATGGACACATTTACAATCTCTGGCTTCATCCCTTGATCTTCATTGACACTTAGGACCTCATTCCTCCAATTCACCGTCTGCCCAGTCGATGAGGATGATGACGGTCAAGCCATGTGTGGCCCAAAACCACACGCAGCTGAAGCTTGTTATAATGTTTAACTGGACTCGGGTGCAGAGAACACTCCATGATAAAAAATGGAATAATGGTTCCAGGAACTTTATATTTCTTCCTTTGTTCAAATAAAGATAATTACAGACAGGAACAGGCAGCTAATTAACTGGGCTGACCTCAGACAGACACTGAACTAACTGAGTGACTGAATGACTCTTCATTAAGCAGAACAGCACTGAACTGGAGTGGAGGAGCGTGGACCGGCTTTTCCAGGGTTCAGCAAAAAGGAAGTGAAACAATAATAGTGAGCTACACAGGTGACACAGGTGAGGCTGTTCATCAAGCAGATCATTGGCCTTCAGTCGCTCCCACCATAACTCCAGTCAGTACCACAACAAGACTACCTTTATAAGGATTTATGAATGGTTTATTACTAGATATTAATTAGTTTGCTAACACTTAATAAATCATCTATAAGCTGCTATAACGCATTAGATAAAAATGGTGACCTGTTGCCAAATAGTGAGCCCGCATGTATCTGAACTGTTCAGCCTCATATCTCTACTGAGCTTTCTTTGTTTCCTCCATCATCAGCATTTGTACCTGCTGCTTCATCACATGTTTGTTGAGTTACTAACAATGAACCACTCAGCATCTTAATGTACAAAAAGTTTCATCTGGCGGATGAAATTATGGCAGATCACATGATTATATCTAAAGACCAGATTCATCCTCTAAGGCCTTGGAAGTATTGTTTACTTTGTCATGCTCTCAGCAGCCGTCCTCATTATAGTCACAGGTGTTGATCAGATTGTTCTGCACAGTGGAGATTAACATGGAGATGCTTTTTGTTGGTTGTTCTCTTCTTTAGGACTTTAGAATTCCAGGTAGAACACAGCTGGTAAATTTCCTTTACTTGGTGAACTGCTTACCCATTCTTTGTCCCACTGTTCACATCTCTGCAGCCTGTTGTTCACTGAGCTCATTCTCCCTCCATTCATCTTCATGTTTCTTGGCTTCTCAGAAGGGGAGTGGACTCCTGTGATTTCTGTACTTCCTCCTTTTATCACATGGTTGAATAACTGTGTTTTATGATGCTGTCTGTGCCAACCCAAGAACACATTCATGAAGTCACACCATATACACAGGCACCTGACCAGTTGTGTGTTTGTTCTTGTCCACTCGGTTCACCTGGTTATTGACTACAAAGTCACTGCCCTTAGCAACAACACTAAAATCTTTTTTTTTATTCTATGTATTTAAGCCTTGAAGATCATTGAGGTTTCCCTCATGTGCAATGATGTTGAGATAGACTGAAATACACAAATTAAAATTCAAAAGAGGACTAAGGTAAGGTGGTTTGAGGTCAACATCTTGCATTGTCCATGGGTGGTGAGACTGTGTTGTAGATCATTTCAATGTGTTTGGTGAACAGAAACTTAAGATGCAGATTTTTCAAGTTCATAGTAAACCTGTAGGACCTGATGCATTAGACAATTACTAGAGCAAGTAGACCCACATGTTTCACATCATGTTCATTACGTCAGCTCCAGTTTGCTTGTGATGAGAAACCCGCCAGACCTTTTAAATTGTTCCAATACCACCTCTGTCAGGTAGACCACACACTTTCTATGATTACAACATCCTTACCTGTCCAGGATAGCCAACGCTCCTGAGCTCCAAACTAAACACGGCAGGTGTGAAAGCGCCCTGAGAGTCTGTCTGTGTCTTATACACAGTGTATTGTGTCTGTATTTAAATGTGCTGGACCTTGTGTTTTAGTTGAAGTGTGACCTGTTGTTTTCCCTCTGCCTCCTCAGATGGATACACCACTGACGACATCGAGTTCTACTGGCAGGGAGGAAGCAACGGAGGCTCTGTCACTGGGGTGGAGAACATCGAACTGCCCCAGTTCTCCATCATAGACTACCAAACCCTGTCCAAGAAAGCTGTGTTTGCTACAGGTAACACAGTTAAAGAGAGGCATAGAGAGTCACAGAGATTCACAGGGAGTCATAGGGAATCACAGAGATTCACAGTGAGTTATAGGGAGTCACAATGAGTCACAAGGAGTCACGGAGAATCACAGGGAGTCACAGAGTCACAGAGAGTTACAGGGTCACAGAGAGTCACAGAGAGTCACAAAGAGTCACAGAGAGTCACAGAGTCATAGAGAGTCACAGAGTCACACAAAGTCACACGGAGTCACAGAGTCACATGGAGTCACACAGAGTCACAACGAGTCACAACGAGTCACAGAGTCACATGGAGTCACAGAGAGTCATATAGTCACATGGAGTCACAGAGATGCACAGAGTCACAGAGAGTCACAACAAGTCACAAAGTCACATGGAGTCACAACGAGTCACAACGAGTCACAGGGAGTCACATGGAGTCACAGAGAGTCACAGAGTCACAGAGAGTCAGAGAGTCACAGGGAGTCACAGAGTCACATAGAGTCACGAGTCACAGGGAGTCACAGGGAGTCACATGGAGTCACAGAGAGTCAGAGAGTCACAGGGAGTCACATGGAGTCACAGAGAGTCACAGAGAGTCACAGAGTCACATGGAGTCACAGAGAGTTACAGAGTCACAGGGAGTCACAGAGAGTCACAAAGAGTCACAGGGAGTCACAGAGAGTCACAGGGAGTCACAGGGAGTCACAGAGTCACATGGAGTCACGAGTCACAGGGAGTCACAGGGAGTCACATGGAGTCACAGAGAGTCAGAGAGTCACAGGGAGTCACAGAGAGTCACAGAGTCACATGGAGTCACAGAGAGTCATAGAGAGTCACATGGAGTCAGAGAGTCACAGAGAGTCACATGGAGCCACAAAGAGTCACAGAGAGTCACAGGGAGTCACAGGGTGTCACAGAGTCACATGGAGCCACAAAGAGTCACAGAGAGTCACAGGGAGTCACAGGGTGTCACAGAGAGTCACAGAGTCACAGGGAGTCACAGATAATAACAGGGAGTCACAGGAAGTCACAGGGAGTCACAACAAGTCAGAGGGTGTCACAGGGAGTCACGGTGAGTCACAGAGAGTCACCTGCCATTCATGCCAGTGGAACATATTGAAATTGAGGTCATGCAAGCTGGTTGAATGAAAAGAGGGAGCAGTGTTACGCAGAACAAAGCAGTGAATCCGAGAAATAAAACAACATTTTCTGATTGTTTCACGGCAGGTACATTACCCTGCGTGCTGTGATTGGTTGGAAGCTACACACCCACTGCGCAGAGGTCGACACCCAAACATAGTGAACACAGTAAATTAGCTTCTGTGTGTCTGCTGGAATCTCAAAGTTCAGCTCCAAGGTTTATTCCAGGGTCTGTTTCACACACTGCTGTCACCAGCTGTAGCAGCAGCTGGGCTGACTATAAAAAGCAGAACAGGCTAATTTTAGACTCAGTTTGAGCCTCTCACACAGAGCTGCTTGTAGCATTAGCATTCTGAGAACATGAACATTTATTTCTCTGCAGTGGACACAACACACAGGTTCATTGATAACTGTGCTGTATGAGCTTAACAAGACATTAAGGGCTGACAAATAGGAACATTACCCATTATAAACAGCTATGTGCTAACACTCCCCCACAGACACACACCCCAGAGAGCCTCACGTAGTAGACCCACTATCCCAGGTACAATACTGGAACCTCCACCCTCTCTTCTAGTGACCAGTATCCCTGTCACCAGAACCAGTCTATGCTAGACTGAACGGTAGTCAGTCATTCTGACACTCTACATCTCACTATGCAGCCACGAGGCCACACCCCCTACAGGTTGCTACCTCACTCCTCTGAATAATGTTTTCAGATTGTCTGTCTCATTCTCGTGAACGCGTTATCGTGTAACTTGAGAAACATCCACTTTTGACTCAAGGATGAACTTATTCTAACTAAATTCACTAATTATGACACAATTTAACTTAAATGTCTAACAGGATAAAATTAAGTGATGATGATCTAAAAGGTCAAAGGTTAACTTCACTGTGACATCATAAAGGTCTGCTCATTATTCAACACTGTAACTCAGGAAGGAGAGACTGTGACAATGTTTCCTGTAACTTCACTGGTTGATGGAGGAAACAAACAAAAGGAGGTGATTCTAGTTTTTCAGATGTGCAGCTGTTAGAACTAGTAGTTACTGGCTGTAAATATTTAGTAACAACCAAGCCCTACATAAGAACTAGTTTGTGTAGTTCAACCCACTTTAACTTAGATATGCTCATTTCAGAGTGGTAAACTCTAACTTCACAACCAGACTACGAATTTTAACAGTTGGTGCTCCAGATCAGTGGGTCTGGTTCAACAACAGATAGATGGAGTGAAGGTACTTGTTCTTTTTTTTTAAAGATTTTTTTTTTGGCATTTCTTCTTTATTTTATAGTGACAGTAGAGATAGATAGGAAAGTCAGGGAAAGATGCGCTGTGGTAAGAAAACAGCCTTAGCACATGGTACACGCTGTACCAGGTGAGCTACAGGCCTCAAGGTGCTTTTAATAATAGATTTCAGACTTACAGGCAGAGCAGTGAGCAGGTAAATTGATGGAGAAAATGAAGAAAGGGTCCGAGGGGCCCAGAGGAACAGATCAGGTGACAACACCTTGTGAAAACTGATTCATATGTTCCTACATCTGTCCTGTATGTCTCTCACAGGCTCATATCCACGCCTGTCACTGAGCTTTAAGCTGAAGAGGAACATTGGCTATTTCATCCTGCAAACCTACATGCCCTCCACCCTGATCACCATCCTGTCCTGGGTGTCCTTCTGGATCAACTATGACGCTTCGGCTGCTAGAGTCGCCTTAGGTCAGTGATGTTTTCATTCTTTACAGATTAACTGCTAGATATGACTTTCAGTCATACTGGTGTCTCTCCATCACACTGTCTGTCTGTTGGTTGGTCCATCACTTTGGTCCAGACTGGAATGTCTACGAGATGGTTGCCATGAGATTTTGTACAAATGTAGACATGGTCCTGAGACAATGAATCCTAATGGTTTTGGTGATCCCCTGACTGTTCATCTACCATCATCATCCTCAGGTCAAAATCTTAATTTATCCAGTACTCTGTTTATCACCTGTAGACCCTCACAGGGAGACAGTGGGTTTTTTTCTTTCTGAACTTCTTGTGTGTTCCGTCACATGAAGTTAAAATAAAACCATCGTTAAACCAAACTTATATTAGATATAAGCATCACTGTGCAGACATTACAACAACAAAGGTCAGAAGATATATTAACAAAGGTACCTGATCTGTGTTTAGCTGTGCTGTGCTATGCTGTGCTAGGTTAGGTTAGGTTAGACCCATTACCCAGTCCTTTGAACAAGAGAAAGGTCCTTTCCAGTGTTGTTGTAAAGTCCAGTGATCTCGTGTTGCTTCCTGGTGGAGTGAAGTCCTGTCTGTCTGTGTGGCTTATATGTTGCAGAGGAGGCCGCTTGTCGCTCCATTGTTCCCCTTACAGAGTTAGCTGCTCAACGCTAACTCTGTTTTGTGGCTCCTGTTGCTTGTAAATTCAGCTGGCTGACTTTGTGTCATAGCTGCTGGCGTTGGATTGTTCATTCTTGATTGATCTTAAGCAGGCACTCGACTCACTGCTGTTGAGGAAGAGTGTTGTGGAGCAGTCTACTGTGAGAAGGCGTGCATAGAAGAGAGTTCTAGGTAGCAGCATTGATAACCGGATGCTGGGAGCCTTGTTGCTGGCTGAAGAAGGCCAGAGAGAAGAGAAAGAAAGGGGCACAGCTGGGTTTTGTTGGCCTGGTGACACCTTGGGTCACATGTCACACAGTGACCAACACTAACTGGTTGTTAGGTCCCTGGGGTGGAGGTCATAACCAGATGTGAAGGTGAAGGATCATGGGCAATGGACTTCAAATGGCCTTCATTTGTCTGTGGAACCAAAAAGAACATATTGTCTCCACCATCCTGAGGCCCAACAGCGTTGTGTCAACATGTGTTCTGAGATGAGCCAGTGAACTAATGTGATGTTAGGAAACAGGACAGTGTCACATCCGGATGAGCTGATGAGTGAAGATGTCACAAGTGCAGGTTTAAACAGAAAACAGCCGGTGCAGGTGTTTGACTTAGGTCATACCTGACCTGCCTTTAGGGGTCTTGCTATGTTAGTTGCTGTGCTGGAGTGTGATTACCTGCATGCAAAACACACACACACACACACACACACACACACACACACACACACACACACACACACACAGTGCAACTAAAGATGGTTTTACAGCAATTTAAATTTTGCCCTGATGATGTGACAGTGATTGACTTGGTTGCCATGGCAGCACATGCAGATGCAGCAGCTTCACACAGACCAAATATGTCAGTGCTTTTGTCATTATGTTATACATGATCTCCAACTCTAAACGAAGAGAGAAGAGCACCTGAGTGAAACTCAGCCACAGCCACATGAAGAACTGCTGCTTCTTTGACTCAAAGCTGGACTGATACCACAGGTCTGGTAAAACCACAGGCCTGGTAAAACCACAGGTCTAGCAGGACCACAGTTCTGGTACAACCACAGGTCTGGTAAAACCACAGGTATGGTAAAACCACAGGTCTGGTAGGACCACAGGTCTGGTAGGACCACAGGTATGGTAAAACCACAGGTCTGGTGAAACCACAGGTATGGTAGGACCACAGGTCTGGTAAAACCACAGGTCTGGTGGGACCACAGGTCTAGCAGGACCACAGTTCTGGTACAACCACAGGTCTGGTAAAACCACAGGTATGGTAGGACCACAGGTCTGGTAAAACAACAGGTCTGGTGGGACCACAGGTCTGGTAGGACATGTGGTGTGAACTGTGTGTTTATATGCACAAGGACAGGAATATTAAGACTGTTCTCACTGTGTAGAGTTTAGAGTCTGACATGCTGGATTTACTATCTAACAAGGGAGTTCATCTCTGTTATTTAAGCAGTCTTCCTCAGAGAGCTGTTCAGCAGCTTCAGTGATCAACAGACAGATCACCACAAAAGATTTTCCTCATCACTGATGACGTCAGACAAAGATGATGTGAAATTCACCAGCATCTCAGGTTTGCTTCAAGAACAAAAATACACTGAAGTATACAGTACCAAACAAAGGTTTGGACCTAAGATAGAGATGCATGTAAAGTAGACATTTCAATCTGAACCAAAGAAGTTCAACCTGGTGGTGGCATTAGAGGAGAAGTCCTTTTTTGGAGGATTTGGGCACTTTGAATGTCTGTACCAAATTTAATGGCAGTCCATAGGACAACTTGTAACCAAACATTTATACCATGTACATGAGGCTTTAGATGGAAAGTTAAAGGTTTAGCATAATTATTAGCATTCATCCTCTAAGGACAATGAGTGTATGTACAAAACTTCGCAATTTACACAATTTGTGTCAAGATATTTTCTGAGACCACTTTCCATTCATTTTCCTGCAGCTTTGATGTTCTCTCAGTATGCAGTCTTGCTGAAAGACCTTATTCTAACTGTACTTTACCACATGTGCTTGTCTGCAGGTATAACCACGGTGCTGACCATGACCACTATCAATACCCACCTAAGGGAGACACTGCCCAAGATCCCCTACGTCAAGGCCATTGACATTTACCTCATGGGTTGCTTTGTCTTTGTCTTTCTGGCCCTGCTGGAGTACGCCTTTGTCAACTACATCTTCTTTGGCCGTGGTCCTCACCTGCAGAAGAGGGTTGCAGAAAAGGCTGCCAAGTCCAACAATGAGAATAAGAGCAGACTGGAGAGCAACAAAGTGCAGGTGGGAAAAAGGTCTTATGTGGTTTTCATGCTGTTTTGTTAATGACATCATAGAGCCCAGACACACCAAGCCAACAGCTGGCTGTCAGGTGCTGTTCGCCCATTGTTGCATTACTACTTACTGTTTAAAGAGTTATACGTTCCACATCTGTGAGTACGCGAGGGTCTGCTAGTGTCGCTAGTGTCCGTGTGTTGTAAATTTCAACATTGGAGGGTTTACGCAAGGCTCTGGCACAGACATCCACATACCCACCAATTTCCGCATGAACTGCAAATGATCTGGAAAACAAACATGGACGCTGAGAGGCTTTGTGAGGAAATTTGCCACCACCCTCATCTCTACAATTCATCTGTTAAAGAGTACAAAGACAAACAAATTTGTTGTTATTGTTCTTGCATGGATGCAGGCATTTTGATTTGATTACGTAGTGCACATGAGCGGAATACGTTTGAAACGCATCCTCAAAGCGAACTCCAAACTGATCATTAATGAAAACAACTTCAGGTCTGTGGTGTCCACAGCTCTCCCTGTACGTGTCCACAAGCGAGTATAACTGGGGCCTAAGGCTGCATTTTCTGCTCTAATTCTGGAAGTTTCATTCACTCACCCAGAGTCAAAGAAAACCGTATGTGCTATATATTTAAACAAGTATTCTTCAAACTAACTAGGTCGGAAGACCTTTTGTGTGACCATGTCTAAATGCAAAAGTGTACCACATCTGAATGGGCACAGTCAAAGGTAAAACGACTAAAAGACTGCCTCCTCCTGAATGTGATTATTGGATTGTTGGTTTCAGAAAGTTGCAAAAATCATTGGACACAATGTGAGATGTATGTGAGACAATTTGATCAGCTTTTTATTTTGTTGTTTCGTGAAGCATACTAATGCCTGGAGTTTTTTCACCTCTTAGTTGTTGCTGTAAGGTGTTCTAGGATTTCCAACTCCTCTAAGAAAACACAATATGCTTCCTTCACAACAGTCTAGAAAAGGTTTAATTAGAAGGAAGATCTAGAGTCGACCAGAACAATCCAGTACAGCATTCCAGCACCTTTGATTAATATGTAAATACATCTGAGTGTATCTAAAAAGCAAGCAACACAGACGAGCAGAGACACAAACACAGGCAGGAGAGAAGCCCCTCCCTCCAGATCATCACACAAGGCGACGGTCCTTTAACTTCATTGCTGCAGAAGAAGCGATGCCCCGCTGATCCAGGAACACATAAAAAGCTATAAATCCACAAGGTTGTTATAAAGATCAACTCAATGTGTGATTAAAGAAGAGCAGAGGAGGAAAATAATTTCTTGACCAGCGGAGATATGCACTCCTTGTGTTGAACAGCCAGGATGCTGCTCCTGTAAGACAGAGTCAGACTGGTCATCGGGCTTACCCCCATAAGGTCATGGGGTTCTCCCATCTGCAAAATCCCTCTTTAACCCCTGGGCAGATCCCTCTGTGTCTTACCTGAATGGGTCAGTCCAATAAATAATGTTCAAATTCCCTTTCACCTGAACAAAATGCTTCTTGTTGTTAGGGACACAGCCTTTGTCTATTTGGGTTTTGGGTACAGAATGAATTTAATAAAATCTGATAACCTCCCTCAGGTTGATGCTCATGGCAACATCCTCCTGACCAACCTAACCAGTGAGATGGGTGGGGCAGATATGATGGGCGCTCTCAACGACCCTCGGGCTACCATGTTCTCGTACGACAGTGCCAGCATACAGTACCGCAAGCCCATGGCCAGCCGAGACCTGTACGGACGTCCGGCCCTCGACCGGCCAATAGGCCATAAGAAGGGCCGCTTGAGGAGACGGGCCTCGCAGCTCAAAGTCAAGATCCCCGACCTCACAGATGTCAACGCCATAGACAAATGGTCCCGTGTCGTCTTCCCAATCGCATTCACCTTCTTCAACCTGGTCTACTGGCTTTACTATGTCCACTAGGGCGGCAGCAGTGAGCCTGTGTAGCAGCACCACTGCTAGTGATTTGAAAAGCTACCTAGGTCTTGTACAGCCATTTATATAAATTCTGTTTTGGAACGAGTAGTACTGGATGTCTTTACAATGTAAATACAATTTACTACATATATGTATATATATATATAAACACTGTGGGGTCCAAAAGTCGGAGACCACTTTAGGACCCCACTGGAAACATATATATATATATGTGTGTGTGTGTGTATATATATATAAAACAGAGGTATAATTTCTAAAAAATTCTATCACTTTTACTGTACTCATCCATACAAAATAGATATAGAGAAAAATAATAAGACACAGTAGAGGTATGGTATTTCTAAGTCCAAGCTTGCCAAAAAGACTTTGGTGACCCCAACATTATGGGCAATGATCTTCATTTGTTCTCTCTCTTTTTCTGACCTTCTGTTATCTCACTTTTTGCATGTGAATGGAACACAACTTTAATTTGCTTTTAAGGTAACAAAAAAAAAAAAAGCAAGACACAGAAGCCCAGTGCAAAAACAGTGGGTAACTGAAGCAGTTTTCACTTGATCTTGTGATTGAAGCTCATCCAGCTAATAAACAGAAGACATTGGGTGAATGCCATCATAATAAGGTAGTCCTCCTTTGGTTTAAGCTCCGTGCCCTGACTGCGGTATTTTTTGTGGTGTTGGGTAAGTAACGTTGTGTTGAAATCCTTCTCTGACAGCCATCTGTGAGCTAACAAACATGTTACATTGCTTTTCATGAATGACATGATTTTCTTAGGACTGTGCTGAGTGCATGTGCACTGTAAACCAAATTCAGTTTCCTTTCATATCTATAAAAAAAAAAAAAAGCTTTGCATGGCTCTACTGGGCCACTGTATTATAATCATTATACTGTATGCTTTTGAACAATCATTGCATTTAAGATAAGCACAGGGCAGATGTTAATTGGAACTCCACTAATCTAAAAAAATAAAATGTTGTCAGATTTGTACCCACAGTATTCTCACAGTGTCTGTGAGCATGTACAATGCAATTTTCTTTAAAAGAAATCAGGTAAAGAATGACCAATGATGTCACCACGCTTTCAAAACCACATTCAAAATGTCAAGCCCTGATAAAACACGCTGCTGGGGTTGAAATGCCTGGTGCCACTGTCCTTTTACCATTACAGACTATTATTGAACATTTTTGACAGACACCTGAAGTTATACTGTACATTATTGTTGTTAGAACTGAGGTCCATCCACCTTAATATGGTAGATAGTTAAAATGCCTGCAGGAGGTCAATATCTGGTTATTTTCAAGGCCTATGGATCAATTTTATCTCCCAACTCCAATCCCACATTCAGAGTCCAAATACAGTTTAGAAGAGAAACTAGTGGTGAAGACAGAAGAGCAGGTATGACCAACAATTCACATCATACTAAGTGTATGTAGTGGCCAACCCGGTGGTCCTAGAAATTACATCCATACTGGACAATTCTTCACCTCACAAATTATGTTCAGTGCCAATGCTGGAAGTAGTGTGTCCTTTACAGTACACAGATGGAAAGTAAGGGTGGATTCTGTCACAGACCTGCAATTAATATTTGTCTTTCTATCAGTCCTAACTATGATCTGCCCCAAATCTAATTGTGAATTATACAATGACAGTCAGGTGAAAGGGAGCCCAGTACAGTGCAGACACATGCTTCAGGGAACAACAAGTGTTGCAGTCCTTACAGTATCTTGCATTTAACCTAATGTCTGCAGTTTATAGATGATGATTTTCGGGGGGATATTGGATCATTTGAACATTTATTGAAAAGAAACCACAAGAGAAGATTAGAGGGAATTTCCATGGCACAAGATGTGGTTAAGATTAGGCAAAGACTGTGGTTATGGCAAATGGTTAAAATACTGCATGTGTTGGCCACAACATCTAAAACACTTGGTCAACATTAGAGAAATATGTGGTTACAGTTGATTAAAGGGCAACTGTTAATTGGGTAAAGTTATCAGGCTGTTTGCTTATCCACCACTCTAAGATCTTTATCTTAACTTTCAACCTGGACCCATGAAGGACACCACCTCCTGCATCAGCACTGAACTTTGAGAAATTGTACAATATAGGTGTCATTTTTAGAGATACACAGGTTGTGTCATGCTTCAACTGCGGTAAACTGTTTGTATAACTCTTTGTTGTGGCCAGAATCACCTGGGATCTCCCACATTCTGGATCTAAGCAGCCCCGCCTCAGTCTACACTCCAATCTGGTTTCTCTGTGTTCTGACTCTGTCATGGTCTAACTGTGAACATGTGAAGTCTTAGTGACAAACAACTTTGTTGACCATAAAGGTCGTTCTCTGTCATTTGCTCAGTTGTAAAGTAAACATGGAACTGGAGATGCTGGTTTTCACGGACATGCAGATAGTGAAGGAGAGATCTCTTATGTGTTTTTTGTTTCCACTTTATAACAACTTGGAACCTGTGTTCAAGCTTTGACCATCATTTCTATCAGTTATACTCTGTGCTCGATAAAGATCCAAGTTAAGATCGCAGCAACTAACAGACAGGAAGAGACAAGAGCAGTAAGACAGGTCGTAAACAAACCTGAGATCGTACCTGCAGTGTTGATAATAAGAAAAAAACAAGTGGCTATTTTCTAATCTTTGGACACCACACCGTGTTCAAACTTTCCAAAATGTTATCACCGATAGAAATGATGGTCAGAACGACAAAGTTGTAATAAACCAGAAACCTCCTTCATTGGAATATATAGAATATATGTAGTCAATAAAAGTCAATAAAAACAATCAGATGTAAACTCTAAGTATTTGAGGTGATACCTTTTCTCTTCCTCATGGATTGCCCAGGTGAGGACATGTTGCAGTGCGACCGCAGACGCATGTCTTATCAGGGCTGTAAACTAAAACAGCAGCAAACAGACAGGCTTGTACAGGATACAATAGCAGTGTGCTCTTTTCTCATGGCTGAATATTGTGCCTTTACCGAGAATCTCAATATTTTCACAGGGTTTAACTTAACTTCTATCTAGTGAGTAGACTTTAAAGCGAATCATCTTGTACTTTTTTTAGATGAAGAAGAACCAGGAGTACCAGAAACAGACGTGGACACTTTAAGCTATTTTCTGAGGCTCTGACGTACAGTACCATTATCTAAGCGTAGATTGTAGTAAGACATTCCAGCATTACGATGACAATCTTTTGAATTCAGTCTCCTGCGAGTCTCCTCCATGCTGTCAGTGTTGGTGTTTGTGGACAGAGCGGACAGACAGGAGGTGAAGAAAAGAAACAGCTGGTCTTTTTTCACAGCGGACGGGCACACGTGTCCTGTGGACTGAAGAGCTAACGGAGCTAATGGAACAGCTTGAACAGCTGGTTTGCCCACAGGCTGTGGACATGGAGGACATGTGCTGGACTCTTATTGTGTAAAATTACTGTACAATTTTTCTCTCATGCTCTATATGTGCTCTCAAGTGGAACGGGAGGTGGGTGTGTTTGTGGTGTGTGTGTGTGTCTTGCTGCTTGTCTTTAGACAAACAAAGATACTGTACAGGAGTGTGGATGTATGTGTGTGAGAGAGAGAGAGAGAGAGAGGGACAGAGGGAGAGCGAGCATATGGACACGTGTGAGAGGGAGAAAACACAAAATAAAATTCTTTGTGTCAACTTATAGAGACTTCAAAGAATAGAGTTTAAATAAAACTGCTGACATCTCTACCAACTACAGTCACCGTGTGTTTCTGTTGCCTAGAAACAGGCAGGTTTGTATGGGGTGTTGGGCCTGGGGGGGCAACAGGAGCCTCTACCAAGTTATAGTTATATATAAACCTCAGACCTCAAATAACACTGAGTTCAGGACTGTGTTCTGAAACTGGTTCACTCTACTGTTTATAACATCACCTCAAACATGTAGATCTACAAGAACCAATCAGTTTTTAACATGTCAGCCCACATGAGCTGAATCAGAGCAGGAGTCAGCATCAACCAGGACATTAGAGGCATCTGAACCTTGGAGCTTAAAGGTCCCATGCTGATCCATAAGAAGATATATTTGTGGTTTTAAGAACCAAAAACCATCTCAGTGTAGTTTTACATCTCTTCTCTCAGGCTTCTCTCTGGAGCTCCAATGAAATATATCCAATAAAAATACAGCAGATTTCAGGTAAAACACTCAGAGAAACCAAATCCTGCAATGGTTGGATGGTGGGTCCAGGTGACTGCTTTGTTGTGACATCACAAAGTTACAGATGTCCTGATGGCTGGTTTTAAGGCTCAGTTTCTGAATGCAGGCTGTGCACAATTCTCTGTGGACTGAGCGCTTTGATACTTTCGTAGTATTAATATAGAACCTAGACCTGCTTTATAATCAAACAACACATGGACATCTGCCTTTATACTATATGGACCTTTAAAGCTTGAATCAGACATCCGCTGTTGTTCATTTCACTGCAGTACACACACTAAAATAAGCTGAGTTGTGTATCTCAGCGAGCAGCAGTGACAGTTGTATTGATGTTGTATTTGACAGTGACTCCTTCACTATATTTCATGGTGGTTACGGTTCACTATAAATTCCTAACACCAGGTCCAGTGTGCACATAGAAGTTCAGCCCTCTGTCACCTCCAGCTGCTCACTGACTGCAGACCTGAGGGGCGGCGGTCTGCACAGACACCGAGGGTCCGGAGTGAAGCTGGAGGAGAATGTCATTAGTCCAGTTAGCATGTCTGCAGCTGTCAGCAGCCACACTCATTCTCATGATTAACTTGAAGTTCTGCAGTGAAGACGAATGTCGTTAGCACATTTAGCATGACGGTGTCTGTCGGCAGCTGTGTCCACTCTTCTTATTAATCAGACAGACAGCTGTCTGATCATCTGCAGCATGCAGCTTCTACTCCAACGTCACCCTGACTGAGCCACAGACATACTCTAACTCCTCTGACCTCAGCTCTAATTATTTTATCCTTCATCTGTTTCTACTTCTGTCCTCAGTGGACGTGGCTGCTGCTCACACTGCTGACAGCCTCTCTTCATGGGACAGGCTTTGAAACAAGACTGAGCTGGTTTGGTTCTCTGTAATAAATACTTCTGCTCACAGATCTTCCAGCATTTGTGCAAAAATATATTCCAAAGTTTATCTGCAGTTATGACGAGGCTCAGTCTGAGTGTTTTTGGGAGATTTTTTTCCAAACAGTGTTAACTGTTAAAACTGTAAAACTGTTAAAATAGGGATTTTGGTGCTGATATGAATGTAACTGTGTAAGATATACTCTGATAAACAGACAAACCCCATCACTTTATTCTGTTGTAATTTCATTTTAAATGGATAAAACCAATACTCTTACTGACCCATAATGACAAAGTGAAAACACAGTTTTAGACATTTTCTCCACACAGGATCTCCAGAGTCACCATGAGGTTCTTGGTCTCCTCTCTTCTCCCTGATGTCTCAGTTAGTCCGGGTCCAGCTCTAGAAGAGTCTTGGTCTTCCCAGACTTCTTCATGTCAGAATGATGGAGAACACTGTTCACTAACATTCAATGCAGCAGAAATGAGACAGGTGTGTGTCTTTCCACATCATGTCCAATCAGCTGAATTTACCAGTAGACTCCAATCAAAGTGTAGAAACATCTCAGAGATGATCAAGAGAAATGGAGGAACCTGAGCTAAACTTCACGTAAAGTGTCTGAATACTTATGTTAATGTTAGATTGCAGTTTTTACTTGGTAATACATTTGTAAAAATGTCTTTGTAAAAAATGTAATGTAATGTAAAAAAGACTGAGGAGGAAACACATGAAACAGTGAAGGTCTGAAGACTTTCTGAATGAACTGTATGTTTTCTCTTTAGTCCAATAAATGTCTGTTAGACATTAAAACTGGTCCAGCTCCACATAGTCAGTGATCTCTTATTTCTAACAGTATATCTACAGTTTTCTCAATCGCTTTGATACAATTCTCACATCAGAAACCTCACAGCTCTTCATGCATTTCTCATAACACTAACTCAACTGTGCAGAAGCCTCCAAAACAATCAAAACCTTGTTCACGTGTCGAAGCACACAAAGTCAGTCAGTATGTGTGGATACAATGGAAGTTTGTACAAACACAATGAGAAATGCTGATGTGTGAGGAAATGAAGAACTGTTTGGAGCACTGCATCAAAGCGACTGAGAAAACCTGTAAAAACAGCTCATTTCTGTTGTTGAACCCTTTAAACATTCATGTCGTTGCTTTGCAGCACTCAAGATCAGATGAGCTTGAACACGGAAAAAACCAGCTTCACACCTGCTCTCTGACATAGTGTGTTGTATAATGGATCCACTCATCATGAGGGAATTAAACAAAGGCCAACAGACCATGGCGTCTGACATCATACACAACTGTTTTATACTGTTTTCTGGACTGTGGTTGAATTCAATTCAATGAAATCAAAAAGCGAAGAATCATTTACTTTAACATGTTCATGACAAAACACAGATCATTACAAAAACATACAGTGAGAAGGTTCAGCTGCTCAGAGACATGACTGCAGCTCACTAATCATCATCAAGTCTGAAAAACTGTCTACTACATAAAGGAAAGCACAGGAGAGAATCTCTTTAACTCTTCTTTGACCACATGACTCCACTGAATGGACTTCCTGTGGTCATGGGCTTCAGTGGGATCAGTGGTCCACGTGGGATCAGTGGTCCACAAGCTTCCATCATTTCAACTGCAGCATCACCTGCAACACATAAACACACATGAATCATCATTTCATCTGACTTCTTTAATACTGACAAATAATGAACAGACGTTGTAGCTAAGTTATCGCAAGGTGAATCAAGGGTTGATAAAATGCTGCAGCCAATATTATAAATCAGTTATAATATATTTAGACTCATTTCAGATTAATGATGATGATAGGATAAGGTGCACTAATCAATGTTTCTATACTAACATTAAATCAAATGCCTGTAATGAGAAAGGTGTTGCTCATAGTGACATTGTCATGAGGTAATGTCTTTGAGTTCTGCCCCTATGTGGGCTTATTTAATTCATGCTGGAGGTTTTCTGTCTTACTGACCGCACCATCACTGTTCCTACTGGAATCAACATGTTTTAAAATATTACGTTCTATTTTTAAACCAGAATCACCTCCTCCTGGTTGTTTCCTCCACCCACCAGTCAAGTTACAGGAAATATGGTCACAGTCTCTTCCTGAGTTACAGTGCTGAATAATGACCAGAACATTATGATGTCACAGTGAAGCTGACCTTTGACCTTTTGGAAATAAAATGTTATCACTTCATCAGTTCATCGTGTTCGACATTTGAGTTTAATTGTGTCATAATCAGTGGATGAATTCTCTGATCTTTGACCTTTGACCACCAAAATCGCCACCATATGTCCGTACAGACAGACAGTCTGAACACATAAACCCTCCGGTCCTGGCTGCTGGCGGTGCGACACAAACAGCTGTAGTCGGCTGAATTACCAGTTTAATTAGCAGTTAACTCCTGTGGATGACCTGTGTGTGTGACTTAAGAAAAATAAGTATATATTTTACCTGTTCTGTTTGTGCATAATTATGTTGCCCGCGCTAGTCGATCGTCTCAGAGGCAGCTCATTAAGTTCATTTAAGGTGAATGATATGTTCTACTTGTTAGCATACCTGTTTAATTGCTATTTCCCGCAATTCATCCATATTGCCAAGAAGGTTAGACAATAAATATTATTATGACAGTTGCACTTATTTCTCTGTAAGATAAATCACTGCCTAAATTAGCTATTTGCTGCCATAATTAATTCTAAACATTATGTTTCCAGCAAAAGGAGAAGATTAGGACATTGCATGTTATGGTAGTTTATTCATTGTTTATTTATGTTCCTTATATCAGTCCTTGCTTTAACAATATATAGTTTATTACCTAACTGAATTTGACATTTCATTTCATGGTCAGATACAGTACATGGTGTTATGCTGAAATTATGTGTAACCTCTGTGGATCTTGTATACGTTTGTTTCCTGTAGACCACACACAAACCCACTCACTCCTGACCCTGCCAATAAAGTGGTAAAGGAAGTTCTGGCTCCTCACTGTCTGATCAACTATCACACCTGAACCACACATGCTTATTTACTTGTTCCAGAACAACAAAAAATCAACACTGCATCCACACAAAGACGTTAGACAGTGGCAGATTTACAGATTTACTTTACACTAAACTAGAACAGTTATGATATTCTTGGATGAGCTCACATTACTGAAAATAAAATTCTGAGTTGCCAAGGTGATTCACAATAATTGTGAACAGGGTGTTTAGTTATAGCTCAACCTTTGCAAACCTGGAAAATAAACCTGCAGGAGACACTGAAGTGTGAACCTCTGTGGACAGACCTGCAGGTGGCAGCACTGACATTTCACATCCAGTCTGATGGAGCCTGAGAGGAAGGAGGTAAACTGACCTGATCCAAGGGATGGTTTCACAAACACAGACTGTGACTGTGTCTTAGATATAGCAAACACTGAGACTTCAGATAAATGTCTGAATTCACCTGCTGCACAAAGCCGTATAGTTCTTGACTATCTTTAGCTGGACTGCGGTACAATGAATTCTGGGTAAATTAAGACTTCCTTCAAAATACAAAAAAATGGTCGACCTAGGAACAACATCCTCCGTTAGCCCAGCAGAAAAAGGTTTGTCTTTTGGAAGAATGTATGAGTGTAAGAATAAAAAGAAAAATCTGATTTGGAAAAAAAATTGTTGCAGTCTGTAAAAACTCTTTCCCTTCTTGTTTTTCTCTCCAGAACCTTTGTGAAACCAGCTGCTGGTGTCCAGATCACTGGACCTCAAACAGTCCAGAACTAGTCAGACACACACACACACACACACACACACACACAGTATTCAGTGTTTGTCTACCTTATTAGCAGCCTCTAGTGAATTGATGAGAGTGTTTAACTCGTCTCGGTTCATCTCCATGGTGACGGGCCGGAGGGCTCCATCCTCTCTCACGTCCAGACTGAGGCTGAGCAGAGGGGTGTGGAGGGACGAGATCTTATCACTGGACAGAGCTAACTGCAGGAACAGGAAGTAGAAGAGGTGACATTTAGACATTTTAGAATTAGAATTTTTCACAACATATTAGAAATTGCACAAATAAAGCTCTGAGGAAATTTAACAGTTGTGGATTTGACATTGTCATAGTCTAAAACATAGGATTCTGTCCTGAGGGTTAAATTCTGTGGTAAAATATATGTTTCCTATGCCAGAAATGGCTAATTAGCTAAAGTGGCTAATGGGATTTTTCAAATGAATGGCCCCAGAGGGATAAACATACCAATTTTTATACTTGTGCCCACCTTTTAATTGTGTTTAGCTGCTGCACTATTAGAACCACATCAGAAATCAGGGGTGAAGCTAATTAAAAAGTGAGGGAGAAATCGTCCAGTCACCTTCAGCTGCCAGTCGAAGTCCTGCAGCGTGGCGGTGGAGATGGAGTTGGTTCTGTCCAGCAGAGCACGGCGGATCTCCTCCTCTCTGGCTCTCAGCACACTCAGCACAGTGTCAGCATGGCCGCCGCTGCCCACACCTGACAGCCCAGCCAGCACCTGTCCACAGCCAACAGGAAGACACCTGAGAATCTGACCTGAGAGCAGCTTCCACACATCCAGCTGCTCAAGGTAACAACATCTGCTTCCTTCACAGAGAAGTATTATAGAGGTGGATGTCGTCAAAAACAGCATTTAAAACCACAGCTATAGAAAGGATCTGGACACGTACACTGCGATAATCTTGTTAATAATCTGCAATATTGTATATAATCAGAGGCAGCCTGAGCTGAACCGGTCCATGCTGTTGTCGTCTCACCTCCTCATCAGAGCTGTTGTTACCCACTGCCAGGCGGAACAGGGCCGTCAGGGAGCTGAGCAGCTCCAGCCACTCCTCCAGGCTCCAGGTGGCGCTGTAATCCCCCCTGCAAGGAGGCTGCCTCCCACACAGTCCATCCACCACCCTGTGACACAGCTACACAACAGACAGGACTGTGAGGACTGTGAGTTTGGTGTTTGGTAATGTTAAAAAAAAAAAAATAAGATCCTGATGTCACCAGACCCTGGTCTTTAAATTTGGTCATTCTGTTGATTTTCTCATTTTAAAACACTCATCTGTCCCACACATGGGGACATGGCTTCAGCTATGATGGGACAGTGACTGGGTATATCCAGTGTTTCAGGGTGTTGACTCACAGCTCAACAGTGGACCAATCAGAGCTTCTGCTGCTGCTGCGGGTTGGTCTTCATTTAAGTTTTTGGTAGCAGACTGTTTACAAATCTTTAGATTAGAGAGAGATGACATAGACAACAATGATGATCTCTAACAATGCTGCATGGAAAGGTCTGAGCTGTAAAGACCAGAGCGACTTTGACAGACAAGGGTCATATTATTAAGAACAGGTGACTTGGACGGAGCATCTGCAAAATGGCGAGGCTCAACAGCGGCAGACCATGAACGTTGAAGAACGTCTGCAGAACATCAGACGGGTCAGTGTCCATGCTGCTCATGATGTTGTGGATCATCAGTGAACATATTAAAGAGGAAGTGTGAGATAGTATATGAGACAGATTTAGTCACATTCCCCCATTCATATTGCACATTGTACATATTTGTATTGTTTTTATATTTCTATAATATTTTTATTGTAAATATATTGATGAAAAAATGTCTATTTATATTGAAGCTACCTGACTTGCAGTACTTACTTTTGCTTTATCTTTCTTTACATTTGTTCTTCTTCTATGTTCATTGTTATGAACCAAAACACCAAAGCAAATTCCTCATATGTGAAAACCTACTTGGCAACGAACTGATTCTGATTTTGATTTATTGGTAAAACTGTTATTATAAAGTTAAATGCAACATTTTGCAAATTATTTTGTCATTTTAAAACTAAATGATCTATTCATAATTTATAGTAAACATATATATTACCTAGCAAGTTTAACATTAATATAATTTCTGTTTTAATATTATAATTGCTTTCAAAATGTATTGATTGATCATAGCCTGGCTCTGATGTTTATAATTAATTTGGTGGCACCCTCAAGGCTCCCCAGAATTTTCTAAAGATTTTGGCTTAAATAATCTATTGTAGCCTCACATTAAGTCACTTGCAGGCCACCGTAAAACAGCCTGTTTAACACCACAGCTGTACAGTCTTTAATAGTGCAAACACAGGACCCACCATAGAGTCATGAAGTTCTGTGAGAAAGTGACTACATGTCTGATGATGAGCTCTCCGTAAGAACCGTTAATAAGTTAATTATCTCATCAATTAACGAGGCGCCGCTGTCAGCTGTCACATCATAAAACTAAACATATCATCATTACTCACGAATAAACTGGTTCTTACCTTTACACTGTCCGCCACGGGTAACTTGCTCAGTAGAACCACCATGTTCTCCTTTGGTTCCGCCTGCTGATCAGCTGATGTCAATCACATGACTACGCGAGTTGCGTTCACTTTCTGCTGGGAAAAATGAACTTCATCACCTTTAATAACTTCATAATGTGCGCGCAGAACGTCGAGGAAAGAAATACTGTTATACATATTATTATTATTATTACACATTATTCAGTTTTTCTGTGAAACCACTGTCACACCTGTTGCCCAGTTATTATACAGAGTTTATTAATGTTATCTCAGACGCTGAACTCCATTTCAAAATCTCTAGTTCAGATTGACCTTGATGTTTGGCAGAGGAACAACTTTCAGAGTGAATCTGTTGTGAATTTTATTTTTATAACATCTATACGATGCGTAACTTGACGCCGAATTTAATGCAGAGGTCCAATAATTCCTACATTATATCTGAAGGAATTGAACTACACTGGCACTAAACTGAAAATGTAAAATATGTTAAATTGTCGGTGGAGTTCTGTTGGACGACGCTCCGGTGGAAAGGGGAACGTCTCGTGGCTCGGTGACTAGTGTTTCACATCCTGGTTAGCGGAGCTTGATGGTTGTTTGTGAGGCGCTCTGACCGCCGCTCCGCTGCTCTGAGATGTGACCGGAGACACCGGCACTGCCGTTAACTTTAACACGGACAGCGTATGGAAACAAACACGGTAAGTGTGTTACCTGCCGCTCTCCGCTGAGGACTAACGCTGCTCGGTTTCAGGAAAAAGAAACGTGACTGCGGGTCTGTTCATTCATTACAGTGGTGAACAACAACGTCCCTCGGGGCCTGGTGTCAACACGGGAGCACAGACCCCGTCCTCAGCTGGTCAGGTGTCGACACCTGAGAGCTCAGTTCACTGCCTCCACCTGGATTATAGTTTAACTTGTGTCCGTAAGAAACCTCAATAGATCAGTTATGGACACAGGCGTGGTTTACCAGGCTATATAACATACTGTAGGTTATGTGTTTACGTCCAGTTCAACTAGAGTGGAATCACACTGGATCTGGTTATACAGTATATCATAAAGGAAGAGTAACTGGTGAACATGAAGTCTGTCTGAACTGGGAGGGGATGTTGTGATACTGGTAGAGACTGGAAGACCAGACAAGGTCTATGTTGCTCTTTTAGTCCAGCTGAAACTGTTCTATGGTCAGAATCAGCTTCATTGGTCAAATACAGTTCATTCAGAAAGTCTTCAGACCCCTCACTGTTTCACATGTTGTTATGTTGCAGTTTTTTCTTTTTCTGACAAAGTGAAAATAGAATTTTAGACCCTTTTTTCAAATGTATTAAGTAAAATGAAATACACTTCACTATGACTCTGGTTTCTACACCTTGGTTGGAGTCTACCTGTGGTCAATTCAACTGATTGGACACACAGCTTTCTATAAGGTCTCACAGCTTAAATGGAAGAACATACTGTATGTCTCTCTGTGGTAGTTCAGTGTTGATGCTAATTACAGTGTATTGGCTTGAGTAGTCTAATTAACTAAAGACCATGTAGTTAACAGCATGTTGACGTCACTCAGTCAGTAGCTCTTAGACTGGAGTCTGGGGACCTGCAGGGATCCTTCAGGGGGTTTAACAGCAGTCTCCAGCTACAGGATGTTATACACTAACTCACTGCAACATAGTTCACTGTAAATCCCTGTTACATGTGTTGTGTCACTGGTAAATGTTTTAACTATCAACACATGATTCAGTCAGGCACAGTTTAAACCGCTGTACAGTTCAGCTCCAGGACAACAGAGTTTCTCATGAGACCTGGGACCAGTTTCACAGAGATATGTCGTACTGGTCTGTAGTGTTGGTCCAGTCTTCATTTTGCTCATAGATCAGTCAAATGTTAGACCAATGCTACCATGGTAACATTTAATGACACCTGCACTGACCTGTAGCACCCAACATCAAGAGGCAGGGAAACATGGCTCATTTGTGGTTTGCTAACATTGTTATGGAGATCATCAAAAATCAGCTTTTTCTTTTCATTGTTTGACAATTTGATGAATTTCCAAAGGAAAACATCCTTGTAACTGTTGAATTATTCCAAAAGACAAACATTTCCTGCTGAGGGTAAATAGAGCTGAGTGGTCGGTTCCTCAGTCAGCCATTTCTTTATTTGGAAAAAATAACCCAGAATTCATTGTACCACAGTCCGGCTGAAGATAGCCAAGATGGTAGAAAGTTTGACATGTTATTTTATCCTCTTAGAGATCAAACATGCAAACATCCAGCCCTGTACAGAACATGTGATACTGATACTGAAACAACTGTTCAAGGAAGTGGATTGTGGTCTTGACTGCTAAGTCCTCAACTGTAGAAACATGCGGAAGGGAAATAAAGCAGAGATTTATAACTCTGAGTGGGTTTACAAGACGTCCTCATCAGCAGCTACACTCACAATATTTACATTGTGCCCTGTGTCTGCTTTGATGCCATAAAAGAACGTAGTTCACGTGCAGTAGCTTACTTTGTTATTGCCTATCACTGTAAGTCATTATCTCACCAGTATGCAGAGAATGATGGTGAGCAAGTTAGACATGTCACAGCTCTGTGAGAGAGCTCTGTGCTGTTTGAGGAGGGGGCTCCAGAGAAACACTATAGACCACGTGAGACAGAGAACCACATTTTAGTTTTTATTTGAACATTACATATTGTACTGTTCATCCTGACTTTGAATTAGTCCTTCAAATAAAACCTTTGGCAGCTTAATTGTTCTGTTGAATATTTGCACTTGGACATCCTGAACATATTTCATTCCAGGCCAGGTCGCCCAGAATCCAGAACTTTTTTTTTTTTCACTTCATGAATTTTCTTGAAAAATATCATGTAAAAACTTCTGTTAAATGCACTGAACCCTCAGAGGCTGAGTGGACTGAGTCCTGCTTCTGAGCTCTGTCTTCACAAACAGATCAGTTCTGTTGTTAAACTGTGTTTCTATCAGTTCACAATCATTTCCAAACTCAAGCCAATTCTGTCTTTCCATGATATAGAAAAAAGTAATTCACACCTTCATTACATCACGACTGGACTATTGTAACTCCTTATACTTGAGCCTTCCCCAGTCTTAACTCGTCTGCAGATGGTCCGATGTGCAAACATATCACCCCAGTCCTAGCTTCTCTTCATTGGCTCCCTATTGATTTTAGAAGCCAATTGCTGACTGTTTTGAAGGCTCTAAATGATCAGGCCCCGTCATATATCACAGACCTTATTCACTGGCACTCAACTTTTACGTCTCTTAGATCTGACAACAAATCTCTCCTGTGTGTCCCATGGTCACAACTAAACTAGAACCAGATGCGAATTGAAATCCGATGTGCACCCTGCATCTCTTCTTCAAATAGGGCACAAAAACATTCACTTGGACTCAAGGATGAACATATTAGATTTTGGTGATCAAAGGTCAAGGTCTTGGTGACCTCACAAAATGGTTTTGGCCTTGTGAACACGATATCTCAAAAAAACAAAAAACAAAACACAGTAACACCTTGAAGGAACTTCTTCAAATTTGGCACAAATGTTCACCTGAACTCAAGGACGAACTGATTAGATTTTGGTGGTCAACGTTCAAGGTCAGTGTGACCTCACAAAACACTTTTTAGGAATAACTCAAGTCTTCACACAGCAACTATGACAACATTTCAAACAACTGGTTAATATTTTACTTGACTCTGTATAAACAGGGATGTAACCTGAAACTAGTCTGAGTGGCGGCGGCAGACAACCATGAGGAGGTGATTCTAGTTACTTTTACTTTATATTTTAATATCCTATGTACAGCATTTGGTCATCTTAAGCTTAAGTGTTAAAATGTGGTTTAGAAATAAACTTTACTTACTTTAAGTGGCTAAAAAATAATTTCATGTCTCCTTTAAAAATAATGTTTTATGGGTTTGAACTGACTTGGCTATCCTACATCAATTTGTAGTGAAGTGTAGGACCCACAATTTGGGGTTGAAGAGGTTTTATATCCAAGTAATCAAGTAAATCAATGCACAGGAGTTTCTTTTGATCTCTTTGTGTTTTTATTGCACTATAGTCCATATAGAACAGAATAAAAACATTTTATTAAACCATTTGGACACTTTTGAAAATGGAAGGTTGATTGTCAACTTGAAGGTGAACAAACTTGCTTCTGCCTGTGTGTAATGTTAACCTGCTCATTAGAGTGAAGCAGTGTGAGGTCTGGTGTCTCTGTCAGACCAGCTGCAGTAGACAATGTGTCACTCACATGTCCTGTTGTTGTTACACTTCCTGGTTCCTCTGCCTGAGGTTCTGAGAACAGTAAGGTCAGAAAATCTTCCTTACACAATCGCTGGAGGTTACATACCGGAGAGAGGAGGCCTGCTGTGTCAAACATTGTATGCTCAAACATTAGCCTGTTTGCTATTTCATAGTATATGTACATTCCTCTATGAGTTCAAGTTGTAGAGACGGCACAGGCACTCAGACATGGACAGTCTGTAGGTAGTTCAGTAGAGCTGACGATCAATCATTATGCAAGGTGTGTCTTCCATTGACTGTAGGCTTACCAGCTTAGTCTTCTTTGCAATCCCGTCACCAGGTATAACACTAACAACAGACCACCTCCAATGTTTACTCCACCATTTTTTCTATACAATATGTGCATGTCAACTAAAGTATGGTTAAAGTTAGGAATATCATGGTTAATGCAACTAAACAGTTAAAGGAGCTATCTGTAAGTTAGCTATTGCTACATAGCTAACATTAGCATTAGCAGCTGTTTACTTACCAGTCTAGAAGAATCATTGTGAGTTCAGCATCAAACTTTGTTCCTTTACTTTAAGAATTGTCTCCAGAGGTGGAAAGAACACTAATGTTAACTCTTTCCTACTCATTCCCTCTGTTGCAGAAGTAGACTGACAGCCATCTAACTAATTCTAATGAGCACTCGGTCTCCCTACCATGTTCACCTGTTGCATCTCACTGTTTAAAAAAAAAAAAGACCCATAATATGACATAATAGCCATCATAGATATTCAGAGGATGTTTTGAATTAAGGTTTTCTTTCTTAGAAGCCATTCATTTTGTGACTTAATTGATAAAAGATGAATATGCATTGGCTCTAATACTGGTAATAGTAGGGCCCAGCTAGTTAATGATTAGCCTATACTTTCCTTGATTCATGCAGATAAGCTGGATAACTGTAGTTTAACTGTACTTAGGTCAGACTAAAAGAGGTGAAAGGCTGATGTGAATAGATGTTTGAGTTTACTTTTGAATGAGTCAGCTGAGCTAGCTTCTCAGATCTGGATGATATTATAGAAGAGAGGCTTGGTAGGAGGAAGCCTTTCCCTTTCCACTGACTGATGCTTCATTTATTTTGTATAATAGTATAATATTCTAGCAGCAGTGTTTTGTACATGTTGTAATTTGCTAAAAGTTGTTTTGGGGTAAACCTGAGGGTGTTACAATAGTCAAGTCAAGAACAACTGTTTCAGCATCAGCATGGGGTAGAATGGGACAGATCTTGGCAACACTTTGTAAATGGAAATATTCTTTCTTTGTAATATTGTTGATATGTTTTTCAAAAGAGAGATTTGGATCAAATAGGACACTGAAAGTTTTAATGCTAGGGCTTTGTGAAATTGTTAGTTAGATGACTTCCATTATTTGATTTCTGTCAGGCAGCTTCCAGCTTCAACAGCTGATGACAGTCAGGTTTAATGGAGACATAAAACTGAGTATCATCTGCATAGAATAAGAGCAAGAATAGATCCTGGTGGCACACCATAATCTTATTGTGGTCTGATGAACTGTCTGTGAAATATGACATAAACTAGGAGAGAGCAGTGT